GTCGTACATGTGAGTCGTCGTTTCGTCCACGAATCCAAAAATCTCGAGGGAGGTCAGGTTTCGGCGCTGAAACTCAGCATACTCCTCGCCGTGAGTGGGATGCTTCGAGTTCAGGTGAGAGATCAGGTTTGTGTAGCCTGGGCGCTGGGCTTGCTTGCGTGGCTGTTCGCAGATGTTGCACCGGTAGAGCCCAGGCTCGAGAACGGTGTAGAAGAAAGCGGCGAGTTGCTGGGACGACATGATGTAAATCAAGAATGACCGTCTTCTCAAAGATTGAAAGTGAACTAGGCGCTGAAAAATGGCTGGTGGAGAGGAATGGGTGGCTGCAAGCCACTCGAACGGTAAGCCTTTATATTTGTATTATTCCGTCCGTATCACACTATATTATTATCCCGAAAAAACAATAATCCGTAGTATAATAACAAATAGGTAGTAATTGCGGTATTGATATTATTTTCTCGGAGGCCTGCGGCACACATTCCATCAGAAAAGGTGTTACTAACCCCAGCGTCGCGTGAACGAGCATCCAGAAGTTATTAACGGCCCTAAAATATCAGATATTGCTGTGAAGTCCTTGGGCCCTGCAAGCAAGAGCATCTAGCTGCCATATTGAACAATAATATGTCAGATATTACTGTGAAGTCTCTGAGCGTCATTCCAAGGCATCGTCATCGCCCCAGAAAACACCCATACTGACAGTTCGGCAGCATATCAGCTCTACAAATGTAGTCGTGGAAACACCTCTAGAGACATCAGCAGCCAAAACAAAAGTTGGTACTGTTTTGTACCGGTTACTTATGAGAGCCCCGGGGTCCGGATGGGACCCCGGGGTCCCGCCGAATGTTTCACTTGTTGTATAAATGTCAGATTAATGGAAATTGTGGGGCTATATGTACAGGTTGTAGCTGAGGTGCATAGCGGTTGGGCAGACAAAGATTACGCTGAAGAGGCTGTTAGCCGCTTCTCGGCTAAACGAGAGCAGTTAAATGGTAGCGCTTAACATGAATACGAAGAAGGCGTGATGTCAGGTAGTGCTAAGGTGAAGAGAAAACTGCGGCTTCTACCGGAAATGCTTCGTCTATATAATAGCAATTCACTTTTATATTCATAAAAGTTATTCACATTTTGTTTCGTACAACAATGATAATTATTCCCCTTTCCGCTGGGTTCAGGCGACCGTTGAGCTCAGGGACCATGATGGAGAAAGAGTCTGCTGCTTCAGCCGTTTGCCTGGGCTGAAGTGTACAGTCTCAGCAAGATCGCTGTTGTTTCGCGGCCATAATAGCAATTCACTATTTGTTCGTAATAGTCATTCACTTCTTTTTTTCGTACTACAATGATAACGATTCCTGTATCAGAAGCTGTGACAACTCCTGCCGCACCCTGATGTTTCAAGCGCATGTCCGCTGTCGCAAGGGTGCGTCTAGTTGCTCTGGGTGCACACGATGGGTGCGCACTCAGGACACTGCATGGGCAGTGAGCTATTAAGGGGGGGGGGGCTGCTAGCAAAAGCCAGGTTGACAAGCATTCAATCTACCAGCTCTCAATTTATATTCAAGGACTCAAGTGGTTAAGATACTTTGAACATTTTCAAATCAGCGACCTGGTGCACCCGTCGGCCTGTCAACCATGAGCGACTCTACGAAGAAAGGCGACAAGGAGCGTTGTCTCACGTACTCCATCACAGTACGCCCGGATAACATGGAGAAGGACACAACCGAAGAAGTCGTAGCCGAGAAGATGCCGATGTTCAACGGTGGTGGCCCGAAAGATTTTCTCGAATGGGTCTACCATTTCAAGCAACTCGCAAATCTGTAGCATTGGAATGCTGAAGACAAGTTTCTGAACGCCACCATCTTTCTAGAAGGGGGCCCTCGCGAGGGGTTAGAGGACGCGGCGTTCAGCGACCACGACGTGCGCATGGACGACGAGTTCATCTGCGCCCTATAAAAGACCTCAATAGTAGTTCTACATGTGGAAAGAAATATGCGAGATCCGAAAACCCCGTAGTGAGTCGATTGCCGAATACAGCAACCGGTTTCGCGCGCCGGTGCGCATGGAACACACACTAACACGACTCTCAGAGAGCTCGCCCATGTGCGAAGATGTACTCTGTCGACTTTACAAGCGTGGCTGACCCTATGAGTGGCAAAACAAGTATGATACAAGGAGACAAGTCTATGCTACTGTCGCTGCTCTTGTTCCTTTCTTCAAACTAATCGAGTAAGGCGAACAGCGACTTCAACGTGACGGAGGTCCCGAGAATAGAAATGGCAATCCACACCAAGGTCCTAACAGTGGACGTCGACCTAACAGCGACTATCATCGCCACGGCAGCAGCAACAATCGTCAGCAACACCATCGAGGTGGCAACCGTGGTCGTGGTGGTAACAACCACAATTCTTCAGCTTCAACCAGTAGTAAGTTCTGCACCTTTCACAGAACGACCAGTCTCAACAAGCAGGAGTACCGCGCTCTGCGGCAGGACCACCAACAAGACGAGCACCAGCAAGTGGAGCAACGTCGTGGTCCTCGGGCTCCTCAGCAACAACAGCGTGTCTGTCCAATCCGCATGGGGCAACGCCAACAAGGAGATGAAAGATCAAGCGACGATTAATACATGTTCGTTGGAGGGATAACGCCCTCGACGGACGCCACACCACCGGTGAGAATCATGGTGAAACTGGAATCCGGAATCAAGCGCTTTGGATAGTGGAGCGTCGCGAAGTATTATCAGCCCTCCTTCATGCGAGCAGGGATAGGTGATTTGATCGAAAGCTCAACTGTTTCTTTCAAACGAGTAAAAGGTGATACGCCAAATGAAGGATCGATTTTGGTGCGTTTTCGCATCCCACAGTTGAAGCATAGTGCAGTAATCGTGCACAAATTCAAAATATTGGACTCTCTACCAGATGATATGAGCATCGGACGCGACCTGATGACTGCTTTGAGCCAAATGCTTACTGTTCCAGGGTACGCCTATTCGCTTCCGTGGACAGTGCTCCAGACGTACCACCAGAAGCTCAGTAAGTACATTGTTCGAAACAAAACAAAGCGCACAGTGAGGTGTTTGTAGCGGGTACTCATCTGGTACGTATACCATGGGAATTCAAAGAGCGCGTTCAGGTTTCGTTACGGCTAAGCGAATAAAAGAGCGCTATTCCAAAACATGTTTGTTTTCAGGATACTATATCGTGGTCATGTAATGTGACCCCGTGTGCCTTAAACCTGGGAGAAACATATTTTTGCTGTAGGATAACTTGCAACTCGTTCGTTTAATACTAGTACTACACAAGTACATAGTAGTTCGTAGTAGAACTTAATGAGTGAAAACAGAGTGATGACTCAGAAAAAGATACATAGGGTTAGAGCATCTCCAGTGGCAAGGTGTCATAGAGTAAAAGTAACGCGTTTAGACATGGCTAAACTTTTTAAGCTTCCGGTGGCAGGTCCTCCTGAAGGTTTAACGGAAAGAAAGAATCATGACTTACTGAATTGTGTGCAACCTGTGCGTTTCGATCTGATAAAAAAAATTAATGCGGTGCTATAGAACATGAGACCCGAGCCAAAGGCTGCTAATTCAGGAAACCTCGTGTCTAAAAGCCGTCCATAAAGACTTGTATGAAGGACTTGCCGCAGGAGATGCTCTTACCCGTTGAGGCATTGACAAAGAAAAAAAGAACAGTAGTATCCCATCGAGATCAATGTCAGTGCGTTATGATAAAAATAGCGAGCTCATTAAAGCTGTCGCCATAACAATCCACTCTTTTACACCCGTTTTGCTCAGCCTACGGTTATACCTCTATAGCCAGCTAAGAGCGCCCCAATAACTTTCCTTATTCGCCCTTAGCTAGGGCAAAGCTTGCGTTTACAGAGACCTAGGGACACCATTGCCGCTTTTTCAGAGCTAGGGAAGGATCTGACTGGGTGATTTTCAATCAAATAAAACCTGTTCCCTGAAATTTATAACTTTCTGACAGAAAAAACCTGGTATTGTGCTTTGCATATATTTTGGCTAAACGGATAAAAACATCTATCTGTAATTGCAAGGGCTAAGTATAACAAACTAAGAATTAGCAGGTGACAACCAGATAGATATCACGGCGTGATTCACGCCTCCGTAAATATAACCAATCAAAAGCTCAGACACAAAAGAAGGGTTCGTTTTGAGTAGATTCGGCTTTTAAGTCTCACTCTTAAACAATTCAACTCCACTATGGCGGTGAATCCTCTGCCATCCAGCAGTTTGCGTCAAAACCGACGCGATAGTCAGTGTAGATTTTGACTAGCGACGAAAAGCCATGTATTCCGTTGATATGAAGTGGCGTGGCGTAGTTCTACTGTACGTCTATAACATTGACGTTGCTACAGTTGCCTCTGTTTTAGGTGTTTCATAGCGCAGCTTAAGTCGTTGGTATCACGACTTTAAACGGACTGGGAACGTATTAGCCGAGAAAACAAGAAATCGATCGTCAAGGTGGCCGGATCATGTGTGCTCATTTGTGCGAGAGTATGTCAACGCCCACCCCTGTTTCTACTTTGAAGAGCTTCGAATGGAGCTACAACTTCAATTCGGAGCTTCGATAAGCCTGACAGATTCAACAATTTGCCGTGCGTTACGGTTCGATCTGGGATTAACGCGTAAGGTCCTGACAAAACGTGCGAAGGAGAGTGTCCCTAGAGACCGACAAGAATATATCAACCGTCTGCTACCGTTTTATAGTGGACCTGATCAACTTGTCTTCGTAGATGAAACGTCAAAAAACGGCCGGTAAGTAACTTCGTTTTATCAGTTTATTTTGTTTTACTTATGCTACAAGCGGTTATTAACCTATTGTTTTGTCAAACAGATCTGTATTGAGGAAGTATGGGTGGTCCGCCAGGAATACTCCTGCTCATGCTGTACTATTGCCTAGCCGAGGGAATCAAGTTTCGTTGCTAGCAGCGGTCGATGTCAACGGATTCTTTGGTTGGGGGATTACTGAAGGTACTTTTACGAGAGCGATATTTCATGAGATTTTCAAGACCAAAATTGCGCCTTACCTGAATCGATGGCCACTACCGAGGTCAATCGTCATCGTGGATAATGCAAAAATCCACATGTACGAGGAACTACAGGAATTGGTCCATGAAACGGAGCTATACTGATGTTCCTTCCTCCATATTCCCCAGACTTAAACCCAATTGAAGTCACCTTCTCACTTCTTAAGAGGTGGATCCAACGAAATGCAAATATGGCATTCCAAGCTGACCCAGTTGCGGTGATGAAAGTTGCGCTCTACAACTGCACACGACAAAAAGATTCTGTAGGTTTAAATCTTTACAGACATTGTGGTTATCATTTACAAAAACTTGAAATACAGGTCAACTAGATGTATTTAATGTGATCTTTCCATTTCATTCGGCTCCATGTGGTCTGTATCGACAATATTTTGCGCTGGATCAGGCGTGTCAACCTCTATTGGTCCTCGAAAAGGAGGGCACAAACTATATGGCGGTAGACCAAGGGCATCGCGGAGGTCCGCTATGTTGACTTTTAGTGGAACTGGAACGCCGTGGATTTGAACGCGAATGATGCGATAAGCTGCATCGTGCTGTAGCTGTGTCGATGCGATCTCTTCATTCATTGATCGTTCTTGCTCATCAATATGTAGAAGCTGTCGGAACGTCGTATTCTGGGGAATTTCAATATCACTGCCCTCGGGAAGTCTAGCCTGCGCAACGGCCATATAGTTTTGTGTAGCAGGTCCACCAGTAATACCAGACTCCTGTAAGAAAGCGGCAACACGGGGAATCTGCTCTTGAATACGCGACGCGGTAGCTCGACGGAGCGAAGTGCTTGACGCTCGCGACTCTTTGGGGATGTATACGAAGAGCTCAAGTACAAACCCGGCTTGACCACTTTTTCGACGCCGAGCTGTGTGCCACACACCTTCTCACTGCGCTTTGAACGCGCTACTTTCAACAAGTGGGACGTAGTCTTTTTGCTTGGCGTGATTTGATGACTTCAAGAAGACTGCGAAACCAGGCTGCCATTGCCCAGGAACCATCTCTTCCAGCTTCTTCTCAATTATCTTGCGGAGCGCTGCCGGTCCGTCGGCTATTGTCAACACAAACTCCTTGGGAGAAACTTTTTCATGAGCTCTGGTGTATGGCTCGCCATTCTTTGCTGTAATCCGACAAGTCAACAAGCTTGGCAACAGGAGCTGCGGGACAGATGAGCTTGCCATTGTAGAATAGAAACTAAGTTAAACCAATGCTTATGAATACCAAAACCGATAATAGAAGCTTCACGATGACTTACGTTTGACGAGGCTTCGTGGCATTAGTGTTCAACCCTATCGCCACGTTGAATTACGTCCTCGAACCTTGTTCTAGTCGTCGGTCGACTGGCTTCAGCATCTTATCCCGCTCCTCGTTCGTCTCCAGCGTTGCCATAACCCGGCCCCGCCCATGGTAGCACCAACCTTCTTCTGAACCTCCTTGGCCACCTGACCATCCGTCCTTTAGCTGCTCAAACGGCTCCTAGATCACCTGTGTGGCCATGACCACAGCACCGCGTTCAGGTGCTTCAGCGGCGCCTTGGCCACTAGCTCTACTCTTCACGCAATCTCCAATTCTTTGTTGCACGTTGAGCCGCTCCTTATTCATCTCCAGCGTGGTCATGTCCGCGCCCACCTCTTTTGGCAACTCTGTGGCCACCAGCGCGGCCTTTCCGCAGCTACTGGAGCGGCTCCTTGGTCACCAGCTCTCCTTCTTCAGCTTGAGCAGCTCTAGGTTTACAGCAGACACGACTTTGACCTGCAATCGCCGCCTTCCACAGGATGAGAAGCTTCCCATAGCACGTTCGTGATCACGCACACCTCCTTCTGCACTCGACAAGCTTCAGATTCCCCACAGGCGCGACCTTCTACAGCTCGGACAGCTTCTTGTTTATCACAAACGCGGCCGGCGCCACTCCCAACTCCTTCTCCAGCTTGAGCGGCTTCTGGCTCATCGCATGCGCGACCTTGACCACGCGCACCTTCTTTTGTAGCTTGAGCGGCGCGTGGGGTCCAGACTCGGAACTGACGATTTACACTAATCAGCAATGATTTAAATGGCGAACAGAGTAATTTTACAAATCAAAAACCGGAGTACCTCAAGTCCGAATTTGAGTAAAATCGGACGGCAAATTACATGAAAAGCACAATACATGTAATTATTAGGTGTAATGTTGATAAAACAATAAAAAGGTTTCAGTCAAGTGACTAAAAATTTGACCATACTCAATGCCATATTGATCCATTTAATGCGTGTCGTTGGAGTCGCTTAGTACGGTAAAATATTAGTCAATGGTAAACTGCATGTTGCAAGGTCAATAACTTACAGTTTACAGTTTCGAATTTAATGTGAAAATATCAGTTATAGTAACGGCAATTCATTTTTCGGAGCTTTAGAACTAGCGAGTCCCAGCCTACCAAAGCGTCTGAAATATTGTCTGCGCCAAGGACGATATTTAGCGCGTAACGTAGCTCAACAGCAGCGCCGATGAAAGTACCCTACTGTTTCATGGTCCACCTCCAGATTTGAACTTACTTTTAGAAGACGCAAGACAACCAAGAAAGACCTTTCAGAAACCAATCAGATGGATTAAGCTAAGAATTGCCAGCATCGTGCCTAGAATCAATTGGCACAGCTACGACTATAAGAGAATGGCAATATGATGGACACGTGTAGAGGCCTTTGCCGGGCTTATCTCTAAGTAGACGGTAAGAGGGGTATGCTTAATTGTTCGCGATAGGTTTACCATCGATCTGGTACATTGCAGCTTGTGACAAGCCGGTGGTTTTCCCTCTTACGGTTTTTTTATTTTCTAATTTTTAGGCAATACTCAAAACGAACATACTGATATTAGAATTGATCAAAGGGCTTTATCATTATCCTACACGTTGTATTTGACAACAGGTGTGAAAAAAACTCAAAATGCCGCTTTTGCACACATGCGCAAATACGGCATGTTAAAGAATGTGAAATACACAGGGTTTGGCAAAATTCTAGCAACGACCCTGCTCGGCTCACAGAAACATTTCATATATTTGTCACAGTTGCGACCAGCCTCCAGCCACTCATTCTTTTCGATTCCATTGGCGAAAAGCCGAGAGGTAGAAAGCCGGTTGCTCGTCGCGAAAACACACAGCAAGTCGGAGGCATTTCTTGCCCGGCTCAAAGGCAAAAGTGAGGAGACCCGGCGCCGCATGGCAGCCGAGCATAAAGCTTATTTGATCGGAAAGAGGAAGGCTGATGCCAATTTTGGCGACGGATGTGCTGAGAACACCAAGGGGGGGGCACACGCGCATGCAAACGTGCAGACCACACATATGACAACGGTGAGCGCGATGACTTCTACTCCAGCGCGGCCATCTCTGCCACGCCCTCCCGCGCAGGATAAGGCTGCAGCATACATAGCAGCTGTAAAGAAGCGGATGGCTGCCCGCCGTAAGAAAACGACCAAGGTCAACCCCGAGAAAAGGCCAGCGAAGAAGAAGAGCCAAGGAAGAAGTAGATGTCGAAAACCACGCGCGTGGCCATAGCGAGGGAGTTCGAGGAGGACGAGGAAGCCACGTCAGTAATTGTGTTGAAGCTGCAGCTGCAAGGCGGACTGAGGAGAAAGCGAGAGAGCGAGCGCATTTGTCTGCTGAGGAGGGCCGCGGGGGGGGGGGGGGAGCCCGGGAACAAGCGCTCCTATTGGCGGAGAAAAATGAAAACGCCAGTGAGGTCCACCTCATCAAAGAAACGAAGGAAGTGCACTGGAGAACACGCAGAACCCTTTGCTCGTTTACGCGATTCAAGCACTCTGGTGTTGAAGCCTCGGATGAATCCTCATCGGCTCAAGAGAGGGTGTTTGCAGCGAAGGAGGAGGATTTCGGGAAAAGGAGTGGCTTCAACGGCAGGTGGCCTTACCGCAAGAAGCCAGGGCAAAAAGAGGCTCGCATGCCTGATGAAGATGGCTGACGAGGAACGAGAACAAGTGACGCAACCTCAAGCATGATATTTCACCATCACGGCTACGAGTGCAATGCCCCAGGCTGAATAACGTATCGACTCAGGTGCAAGCCCGCACATGACCAACGTCCGGGTCAAATTCGTGTCCATGAAGTACGTGAAGACGCCAGTCCGCATCGGGATAGCGTGACAGTCGACGCAGTTGCAACGGGCACCTTCGGACTAAAGTTGACGGACGGAGTGTCTGCCACACTGTCAGGGGCTCTGTACACCCCTGAAGTTGAAGGAAGCCTCACCTTGGTATCCAAACTGGCTGAGCAGAACGTCGTCACGCACTTCAGCATGTCTTTCGCTATAGAAACGCGACGATTATGGAGGTCAGACGTTTTGGAAGCGTCTACAATCTGAAGACAGTGGGGGGGGGGGCGAGGTGGGTCACGTTGCGGCAACTCGTAAAGATTCGCAGGCTGCGGCGAACGCACGTCTGAACCACATCCCATTCAAGTCCTTCGAACAGCAATCGACCATGACAGAACGTGTGGCTCGCGTCCCAGATGAGCCAAGCGTGACGACGTCTGCGCAGGATGCTGCGTGAAGGAGACGAAGGACAACGCCGTGTATCGACACCCGGCGAATCTTGTCAAGAGCGGCAGTATTGTTGATTCGGAGCGCGAGGGAGAGATGGATGCGATGCTGGACATGGTACAATTTGAAGTTGAAGACATAGAAACCGTCGCTACGGAGCCAAAGCAGAAAGTACGCAATCTGGGAACTCGACTCAGATTGTTTCTGGTGAAATCGAAGATGGTGCTGTGATTCCACTTTAATGTGACGTGAGCGTAAACAACGCGATCGTGTCGTATGGATAAACTCATCCCACGATTACGTGGGCACGTACCCGTCACATTGACAAAGCGACGGATCCTGAAGAGGCAGGAGTGTCGAAGCCACACGAAGTGGCTTATCTGGATTCGGCCGGTGGTAAGCCTGAGAAGTGCATTGCTGATGATTTCGAAATCGAGCAGTGGGGCGTCGACACGGTATTCCTGGGGAGACTTAATGAGGAGATCTACATGGAGTTGCCACCTTCCACGCCTTCATAAAATACTCTAGGCAGATAAAACACGAGCGACAATAACAGTTGTCCCACTAGACATACGCCAATCAGGTACTCGCCCACTCGATCGATTAAGGCAGCTGTAGCCTCCGCTATCGCCTTAGTATAACGACAACATGATGTCTATACAAGTTGGATCACATCTGGAACGAAGAGACAGATCGAGTGGTGCCACGCCTCACATCATTTGAGACACAACAGTCCGAAAATGCCGAAGCGAGGCTCATACTTTCGTAACACAGCCATGGGAACGAGGAACATCAGCGTGACCAAAGTGCACGCATATTCCCTAGGGTGCTGCTCTTGAGCGTTGGATCCACGGACGGTAGTGATAAATCGGTCACTACAAGTATATCAGACGAAACAGACTGTAGAGCCACAGTCCACAAGGCTCGCACTGAAAGCCCATCCCACATTGCGTAAGGGAGTGACCACCCACACTACAATCCCAGCTACGGCGCAGACCATCATAGCTTATGTTTCGATCTCAGGGAACGTCACGACAGAAGCCGCCGCCTCGATCCCATCAAACCAGCTCCTCAGCACTTCCATCATTTCAGACTGGCACAACGTCAGTTAAGAAAGGTCATCCAGGTGTCGTCCGTTGACACCCCTTCCCAAGTGGCGTCAGTGTCACCCAAGTCGTTTCCTTTCATCTCGTTCCATTTTTGCACCCTGTCGCGAGCTCCCTATTTCCAACGTCCGTCAGCCACCATTCGAGCCAATGCGACGTATTCTTCAGTTTCCAGCAATCTCCACGTAGAACGCCTCCCAGCTACAACTTCTCAGCTGTCAGCATGTCCAAGCGCTTCACCGTCGCGGAGCGCCGGCGATTCAAGCGATTCTTCGACGCGGTCCTGGAGTACAACGAACATGGAGCGCCAGGGGACGACGCCAAGAGCGTCAAGCGGGGGTTCTGGGTCGCATTGAAGTCGCATTTGGGTGGCAACGGCCTCTCCTCTGGTCTGGATACATGGAGAGGTTGGTCGACGATCTCCTGGAAGGTCGACCCTCCATCGCATTGCGTGGTCTCGTGGTCGCGATGCCCTCCCAGTCAGGAGTCTCGCCCGAGCCGTCCGCACCTGCTAAGGCTTCTACCACCTCCTCCACTTCGTCGGCGAAGAAGCCTGTCCGCGGTAAGCGGAAAACTCGCAGCGGACCGCCCCCAATCAAGTCGTCGAAGAAGCTGCGGAGAAGCGACAAGTCTGACAAGCCGACGTCTTCTCTTGTTCCTTCTGCCGAGTACAAGACGTTGGTCGACTTGAACCTCGACGCCCCTGACCCCGTAAAGGCTGCCGTTTATTTCATCTTGGCAAAGGCGGAGGCGGTCGGAAAGAAACCTTAGTGCATCGCGTACCCTTGGACCGGGCGACCGCAATGGTACAACCCGCTTCGTTTCCGCGCGATCTATCGAGGTCATTGGCGTTTCTGGATGTCTCACCGTCGGGTGTTCTGAGAATGGGCCTTGTACGCGCCTCTGGCGTCGGAGACGGTACAGAATAATCGTCGCAAGGCCAAGATGCGCGCCGTACAGGCTCGTGTAGCCTTCATCAGTTTGTGCATTGAAACCTGGGGCTTCTACGGATTCCTCACGCTCCTCGACAAGTGCCCGCTGATGTTCTGAATGGGAGGTCACCCAGGTCGCGACAACAAGAAGTGCGTGCACTACGACGGACCTCTCGCGGATACGTTAACTTCGCTCGAAGATAAGGATCCGGAACAATACCAGGCTACCATCGACAACGCTCTAG